TTGGGTATGCCATGATTGCTTTCTCTTTGTTCAGGTCTGTGTATAGAGCAAGCTTTTGATGTCGTTTTTTTAAATTTTTTGCAGAAAGATCGTTTGTTGATGATATCTAGTAAGACTCTAGGATTTCTCCGGTGATTGGTATGATTTAATTGAACTAAATTTAGAACGAGATTCCGTAGTTGAAATCTGCACAGCGGGCTGCCCTAGGTTATTTGCAACTTTTTGCCGTTCTGGGTTTCAATATTGGATGTAATGTGCTGTGGGCATTTTTGGTTTTTGTTAGGGAAACGATGGATAATTGCAGTTTTGATGGTGATTTGTTATGTTTTTACTGTTTGATATTTGCTACTCAATGAGGAAAACATAAAATCAGTAGGGTTCTTAGTGTGATTCATACGCCTAGTCAGTTTGGCATACGAATGATGAAGTGATGGCATTAGGTGTAGTTCAATGTTCAGTTTGTATAATTGAGAAATCAATTTGTTCAGCTCAACAGGTGCTTGTGAATTTGGATTTAATAAACAAGAAAAAGAGAAAAGGGGAAGAGATTTGAATTTAGTAAATGAATACTGATTGATAAAGCATAATAGGTTAAACCAAAATGTAGATCACGAATGGAGATACCTTACACAACTCACTTGATAATTGTTCAGATTTCCGCTTAAATGTTGTATGTAATAGTGTTGGATATGTTTTCCATTTCATCTTTATGAATGGATTGAAATAGCATTGTTTATACTTCCGATCTTACAATATATTGTTGTTCTGCGAATTTATTGTATAACTTGTGCTTGTACAAAGCCTGAATTTATTTGTTAATTAGTTATATTTCTTGCGGTTTAGTGCGTATTTACTGAGTAAATAAGGATACGAAAAGCATATTTCTCTTTCTTTAAGTTTTCTCCAGCTCAAACCTACTGGTTCTATAGTCTCTCCTTCTCAGGTCTGGTGTTATGTAATTTTGGCTAAATTCCTTAAATGTGTACTACCCTAGTATCTAGTTTTTTTATCTTCTAGCTGCAGAAAATTCTGAATACCTTGTAAAACTGGAGGTCATCTTATCTAAATCCTGCATGATTATGGGCTTCAAGTATCTCATTGTTCATTTGCAAACATCTAAATGGTTGAAAAAACTAACACTATGTTGTATAATGTATTTAATCCTTGTATCTTAGACTTAAATAGAGCCACGACTAGTTAGGATAGAGTTTAGATGACGAACATGATAATGATGATTTTAAACATACAAAACACCTAAAATCAGGGTGGAAATGGATACATCAAAGCCGATTCTGATCTCAAATTTAAATACACAGTTGGTATGAGACCCGACACACATTTTATGTAATAGTACATACTTGCTGGTTTCATAAGAAAGATTTTCGACTATCGAAAAGTATTTGGCCATTTTTTTATATTTGTTACTCCTGTTAGGGAGGTATACAACGTCGGTTTTCCCTTTATGTTGTGAAGATTTTGTGTTAGTTATGAATACACAATATATGCCTTGCATAGACATAAATGTCATTTGTTTCTAAACAATGTGAATAACCTCGTTCTTCTTATGAAACAATGTATTCCTGGGGAAAAAATATGCGGCGTGGTTTTAGTATGTGTGTTAATTTCACATAGTGTCGAGATCCTAGAATTTATAGGGGAAACAACAGTAACTTATGATAAATTAATGAAGGAACTAATTCAAAGGCTTATGTTGCAGTTTCAGTCCTTTCATCAGCATGTTATACTAAAAGTGATATATAGGTACCAATTCAATCCTACAATAAGTAATGGATATTGCAACATAGTGCGTGTTTAACTTTTGTAGTAGTTTGTGCTATTTTTACTGAAAATGAGTCCATATTTAACTTGTGTTTTTTTCTTACAGGATACTAAACTATGGAGACAAAAGCGTGCAGTGTGAATTTAGGATAAGCATACTTGAGTTTAATGAAAGGTCTGATTTCTTTTTAATGCATTTCCACTGTGCAAAGCTTCTAAGTGGTCTATGTTTTCTCGGGTGGTGGTGTAATGGACTTCAATCTGGAGTTTCATAAACAGCAGTAGGGTTGTGTTGAAACCTGTAGAATAGTCATAAGTAGGTGCTATTTGCGTACTTGCTATCTTTGCTTACTATGTGAACGATTGACTTATAAGAAATTTCGATAGCACCGATTTGATCTGTTAAATTGTCATATCTTGCATTACTGCTAGTTACTAATTCCATGAAATCTTCTATGTACCCAATGATCGATTGCTAAACTGCCATCATGCTTGATGCATCCATGATTATGTTACTAGCATTCCACTTATTTTTGCATTTGTTTCTACTATGCAGCGATGACATTAGGGAAAGGCGCAGAAACAGGAGCAGGAGCAGAAGTTCGTTTGGATTATGTGTTTACTGTGCTTGGACTTAACTAGGGTTGTTATGTACGCAGGGCCACGCCCTCTGCTTCAACTCGGGATTTGCTTGTCTTTATTCTACTTCAGTACTGACGTTGTGACACTCTATCCTTACCTTATTTGTCTGTGCTTTTTTCTCTTTTTTTGGTTCATAGAAAAGAGATGCATTGAACTGTACAATCGTGCTGCATATGATATGGATCTTAATAGATTGCTTCTTGCCTTCTTCATTTTCTTCTAAACCTTACTGATTTTGCTTTTCTGTGGAGGTCTCTGCACGGCACTGCTTCATTGGTTTTCTGCATCTGTATGCACTTGTGCGTGGGATCTTCAATTCGGAAGATTGTGGATCCCAGCTGGCTACACTACTAGATTCCATGTTTGTTGCGTGCTCTGCTCTGCTCTCTTTAAATAGAGTTGTTCGATTAGGACTAAAGATGAAAAGATAGATGCTTTGCACACTCCTCGGTGGCATATAATCTCCGCATGTGCTTGCTTGGTTGCAACGATTGATTGATTGATTGATTAACTCACCCTTTTAGGTTGTATAATTGAGTAGATAATTGAAAGCCCATTTTGAAAATAAAGAAGAAAGCAGGGGAGGGGGTCTAATCTACTGTAGGTTTTTCTCAGGGTGTTATACAGTTTCAGCCCCTTCATTATCACATAATATTAAAAGTGGTATATATGGTTCTAATTCAGTCCTAAAACAGAGAATGCATATTGTGAATTAGTGCATGTTTAATTAATGTAATACTTTGCGTCGTTTTCATTGAAAATTAGTGCATGTTTAACTTATGTTTTTTTATAGCAAGTGACCGTGTGTCAATGCAGGCGTGCTGTGCTCATTCAGGATACCCAGCTTTGAGTTTAACAAAAGGTCTGCTTTGTTTTTGATGCTATGCCACTGTGTAGCAACTTTTCTGTGATGTTTGTTTATTGGGTGGGTGGTGCAATGAAGTGTTAAGTGCATTCCTACGAATCTGAAACATTTTTTTTTCCATCAGATTTCAGAATTATTTCATATTTGTTTTTAAGGGTTTCTACTTGGGGTGTAATCAACATATAGAGGACCCATGTTCCTTGTCGGCATGATTGAAAATCATCATCACCATGAATTCTATCCTACAGCACGGGAAACTCTCTTCATCGATCTGCACCAACTGAATAACATATTCAATTTCATCATTTCAAAACACATCTATGCATTGACAATTAACTCAAAGTGCATGCTTAACGAATTTCCATCAGATTTGCCTTTCATGATTACAATGGTAAACATATGCTTGCCACTTCTAATATTTGTGTGGAGATAAGGCAAGAACTGCATGTAATGTAATATGTTCATAATTAAGTAATTATTTACTTAATTATATTAAATTTGACGTAATAGCATTACATATCCTTCATCTTTAGCATACACATTGTTGTATTTTCTTCTTAGTTTCAGTGTAATAAATTTAGAATAGTGAGAAATTTGCCTTGTGTCTACAAATGGCCGATCAGAATTTGTGACGAGGAGTAGAAATCCATTTAATACTATTTAGGGGGCATCCATTTAAGGTTTTAAAGTGGGGAGGACGGCTTATCTTAAACCATGTGGCTTAATGCTATGAAAAAGTATAATGCTAGTGTCATATATATAATGCTACGTAATAGTTAACCTTTTTCTGACGCGCATGTCGTTTCACAAGCTCTGTTTTCGATTTCCGGATGTTGAATCACTTTACATGGATTAATTGCGGTCTCTATGTTGTGACTTCTTCCTAATATGGTGGTCCATACAGCTTCCTAACGCTTGTGTCTTGCAGGTTATGGCAAAATCTCAACGTGGTGCTATAGGAGGGTCACAGGATCCGGCTGTCTCTCCCGTAAGATGTTTTACCTGGGCTTCTACACGTAACAGCCCCGTAGAGGCAACTAATCGGGCTAGTATAAATCCATCACCTATCCACAAAACCACGAAGAAAGCAATGAAATGGAAGGGATCTCGGGTCTCACCATTGCTCCAACGACTTCGCTCCATCACATCAGAGTGGGAGAAAGAGCGTGATGCTCGTGCTCAAAGAAACAAAACAACATCTTCCACTCGACGGCCAATGCTTGATGATTCGGAGGGGATTTTGGAGGTAATGTGGCTTTATTACGGAAATTGGTCCTTATTTGAACTCTTAGTACAACACTACTATAGGTTGACGCTACTAACCCCAACAGGAACATGATGTTAGGGATATCCCATCAGTCCTTGAACCGACGGCACCGACACAGGATGAGGATGATACAATCCCCCCCCCCACAGAAGCAGATGACGAGACACTTCCACCGACACAGGACATGGGGACTGCAGAGTGTGATATGCCATTATTGGGTGAAGAACCAGGTTCCAACCCGGCTCTGATGACAGGAACGAAGGTGGGCGATATGGCACGATTGGATGAGATAACATCAGATAGCGGTTTGGAAATTATGCTTCTAAGATTATGTCTTGCATTAATTGATTTCAAATTTTCTACATACGCTCCTTACAATAACGTGTAATCTCTTATTTGTACCATTTGGTTCGTCCAAGAAAAAAAAAAGGGAGAGGGGCGGCAAGAATGTCGCGTGGATGGGGAAAAGATCACATGATGCTTGTATTCACATCGCCTGATGGTAAAAGTATTGTTGGACCCGACGTAAATGAGTACAAGACAACTATTGGGGTCATTGCACGCAACGGAGCTCGACTTCCTCTACATTACCTCACGTTTGCTGAAATACCGGAGATGAAGAGACAAGGTGCATGGATGGAGGTTCAGGTGATGCAATGTTCATATAAAATGAAATTTCTTTAATTTTATTATAGTTGTATACATGGTCCTACTATCTTGTTTGTACCGGGCGATAACCATGTCAAATGTCATTGCAGAGTAACAGCGGATTACCAGACTCAGTAAAGAAAGTGGTCATGGCTGACCTAAGGGAAGTTTGGAGGCATTGGAAATACATAATCAAATCAACCTACTTCAATCCGATTGAGGACGACAAGGAAGCATTGAAGAAGGTTCCTTCAAGTAGGATCGTGCCCGATCAGTGGCCAAAGTTGGTTGAGTACTGGCGCGACGAAAACGTGAAGGTATGCAATAGCGACCAACCAAATTAATATACGTTATATCTGCACAGGCCTATGGTGAGAACTAAATAATTCTAATTTACGTAGCTTCGATCCAAGAAAAATGCGTCAAATGTACAGAAAAGAAGCTTTCCGCATCGTACTGGGCGAAAGTCCTTCACAACTCTCGCCGATGAGGTACCTTTCATTATGTTTAAGTTATTAGTCATGCTATGCTCCATCCCTACATTCTTCAATACATAGTTGCTTGTGTTTTTCAATGACATAAGGCCTTGTGTTGCTGCAGATCAAAGCGAAGGGGAAGGACCCCGACAATTTGGAGATTTGGATATCAGTCGAACACAAGGCAAGGGGAAGGACGACCAAGAAACCGAGGAGATATTGGTATAATAAATTTATTTTACCAATTAAGTTACAATTCAGACATTATGTACCTCTCTAACAATAAAAGCGAGTTCGGCCTTACTTAAATCTTTTCTCGTAGACATATTTACAGAATGAGCTAAACAAGATTCCCCCTGAAGGACGGACTCCGTCTATTCGGGAGACTCTGTACCGACGGGCCCTTGGGGAAAAGATTAAGAAGCAGTCAAAGGTCGACAGTGCGGCAAGTTCAGCTCATCCCTGCAGCGAAACAACTAGTTTAACAGATAGTGTAGCATTCCAGCAAGGGTGGGAACAAATGCAGAATGGACTTGCAGAGTTGAAGGCAATGATGGCTGAGTTCAAAACTATCAAGTCTGATGTGTATGCATTCATGCACAGAAACTCCGAAGCAGTTATTGGCCAGACAGTAAGTATTCATAATATTTGTACATTTCGTATGAGTATCCCATGAGATTTGGATGGCTAATATGAGAATTTACCATGATATGTGCATAAATGATAGGGCATATCTCGTATTTATCCAGTCTCTGAGCTTCCCAGGCATATGTCCGAGCCAGGTCTGACGGTATGATTCCGTCAAACCCTGAAGTTTCATAGTAATCAGTGCAGTGCCTAGTTTAGGCTACTCTTGATAGCCTACTATGTTTCCAACTCATCTGTAATATTTTGTTGTAGGTCGGCACGCATGTGCTTCTATTATCCCATTTCGGTGAGAAAAAAGTTGTTGCGGAGGGACTTCTGCTCTGCCCCCCTGCGCCAGGTTGGTGCCATTGTCTTTAAGGTTTGTTTTTGGAACTTTTAATATGCCTCAGCGAGGGATCATAGGTTTTGTGACCGTTCGAGCCTCATACTGCAAATGATCATGGTTTTCTTGAGTCTAGACATATACAATGTTACGATATGTGGATTTGCTTATGTTATGTACACTATTAATATAGGGGCAGTAAAATCAGTGGTATTATGCCGACTCCTGTGTTGGTCTGGTATTTTTTAACTTTTACATCACATTGTTTATGGCTACGCTGCTATTACACTATTTGGGTACACTATGACTTTCCCCAAAAATGTTGAAAGTTGACTTTATTATTGAAATCCTATGTAGACCTTTGCCGCCAAGGTGTATCTCTTGTTAGGGATGAGTTTGGTACATATAATTTGATATATCAGTGGTTGGTACTCTGAACTTGGAACTGCATCTGCGGATGTCTGCTCGTATTTAGTGCATAAATGGTAGTTAATTTCATTGAGACATAGTACTACGACACATACATGGAGCCCTCCCATTTGAGGGTTGCCATATGGATATTGAACTTCGAAATTTTTTTTATTTGATATTTTACATGATATTGCTGGTTTACATTTGTTTATTGGAGGATGATTGGTTTATAGATCGAGCTGCAATCACATAGGAAATTAGGATATAATGTGCTTTGGTACCTAATTCATGGATATAATACCATGTATTGTATGACATATCTGAATATACATACTCGTATTGTTCTAGTTGCAAAGATTTACACTTCTAATGTCTGTGTTATGGCATGTTATACATACAGTTTGAACGTCTGTTGATATATACGACTCAATATACTCAAAAATTGCACTTGTTGATGTTGTAGGTGACACACTTTCTCTAGTCAAAGTCTTCGTGACATCTGACTCAGTCTCGGACACACCCCCTATTTTGCCGACCATTGCTGTGGCGACTACCCTTTGCGATGTCGTTGGTGAAGATCCTATTGAGTGGAACTACAAGGACGTACGGATCTACTTTCATACCTTTCTTGTATTGCCTTCCAAACTTAATAAGAAATATGACTTAAACTAATCTTTGTGTTGGCAATTGCAGCTCATGCACCATCCCTGAAGCGTATCTACCGATTCACCCATGTTAGTTGCCCCGTTTGTCTTATGGATTGTATGTCGTACCTGTTTTTGGATGGATTGTGTTGAGGCTGTGTGAACTATATGTGGAATGGATGCATAGACCATTGGAGTTTTAATTCGTGTGGTGAAAGATGTGGTTATGGATTGATGGATATCCGTATTTGCTTATTGTTAGGTTTGGTGTTTGAACTGTTACGCCCGTTTTGCGGAACATGATGTTGCTGTGTAGTGCTTGCTAGGCTTGTTTTATGGGTTGCTTTACTTTGTTGTGAGATATGGAGATTGTCCAGTAAAAACAGTGTTGTCCATGTGCCTTAATGTTGGGATTCAGATTTTACTATGAATTAATGTTTGCAAGTATTGCCAATGATGATGTTTATAGCATTATGTGTGTACAGAATTTCTTTCGGTATTGGAGAGATCACATCAGGTCATTTTGTTATGCACAATTTCAATTGCAGTGTAACTACTATTTTTCATAGCATGCTATTTCTGCGTAACAAAAGGATGAAATACCGTGACAAAAAGTGGTCCTTGGATATTTGTTGTTTCAGGTTGTTCCGTGACTATAGGAAAGTATATTTTTTATTACGGGTTCAATGTCCTTACAAATATTCGTAACAATTTTTTAGTAGATAACAGTTTTTTTAGTATTGCGTCTACCAAGCCTCCAGGCTCCTAATTTACTAAATGTTGTGATAAAAAACAATAACCCTAATCCTAAAAATATAAATGCTAGACTAACTACCAAAAATAGAAATTAACAGAACATATTAACCCACTTAATGAAACATAATAATTAAATCAACCGGCCCACGAAAGTGAACTCAAGCCCAACTCCGCCGACGATAGACCAAAAGGGGTCGTGGCTTAGTAGCAGCCTCGACCACGGGCTGGTCCCCCTCATCCTGCTCGCTATCAACTCCATCCCTCTTCAAAATAAACCTTGTTCCCAAGGTTGAAGTCTGGAAACTGACGTCGAAACTCGCTTAAATCAACCCATGTCGCATCATCCTCTGTCTGGCCAACCCATCTCACAAACACTTGATCCTCCTCACTCCCATCCTTGGCCACATTACGCGCTGCCAACACCTCCTCAGGCTCAAATACCGGCCCTACCGGAATCTCCAAGGTAGCCGGCAATTCCTGCTCCACCGGATGGTCCCCCACGACACATCGCAGCTGCGACACATGAAAAACTGGATGTATGCGGCTGCCAATGGGAAGCACAAGGCGGTAAGCAGCAGGACCAACTTGACTCTCCACCAAAAATGGCCCATAAAACTTTGCAGCGAGCTTATGATGCGGCTGTTTCTGCAAAGTAGACTGCCGAAATGGACGCACCTTCAAGAACACTTTATCCCCCACCTGAAATTCCAACTCCCGCCGATGTTTATTCGCCTGCGTCACCATTTTCTGCTGAGCTACCTCCAGATTCTGGCGCAGGCGCCGTAATAAATTATCCCGGCTTCCTAACAATTCACCTACGGCTGCTACTTTACACTCTCCCGGAAAGAACCTTTGGATCGAAGGCGGTTCTCTCCCATAAATCACTTCAAAGGGTGTCATCTTGGCGGCGGTCTGGAAGGATGTATTATACCAGTACTCCGCCCAAGCTAACCACCGCATCCACTGTTTAGGTTGTTCACAAGTAAAACAGCGCAGATAGGTCTCCACCACCCTATTTAGCACCTCCGTTTGGCCGTCGGTCTCTGGGTGATAAGCCGAACTGAACTTCAGAGATGTTCCCGATCTGACAAACAACTCCCTCCAAAAGGAGCTCATAAAAATGGAGTCTCGATCACTCACAATCGACCGAGGTATCCCGTGCAATCGAACTATCTCTCTTATAAACGCCTCCGCCACCAAATGAGCTGTATTAGGCGGCTTCAGGGCAATGAAATGCCCATACTTCGAGAGCCGATCCTCCACCACCAGAATAGAAGAATATCCCCTCGACCTTGGCAGACAAGTAATGAAATCCATAGATATATCCTCCCAAACAAGCATAGGAATCGGCAGGGGCTGCAACCATCCTGCTGGTGTGAGTGTGTGATACTTAGCTTTTTGGCAAACCAAGCATTGAGCCACATAACTCTGCACTTCTCGAAACATCCCCTTCCAATAAACATTTGCCGCCAAACGCTGGTAAGTGCGGAAAGCACCTGCATGGCCGCCCACTGGAGTATCATGAAACTCCCTCAGCAATTGTGGAATCCATCTCGACCCCACCGACAACACCAACCGTCCCTTGTAATATAAACACCCTCCGATGACCTCATAACCTGGACTACTGTCTGGACCTGCTTCAATCGCGGTGATGATGCAGCGAAGAGAAGCATCCTGCCACTGCTCGGACCGCACCTCGTCCAACCCCAACCATCCCGGTACACTCACCGCCGCCAACTCTAGCTCCTCCCCCCTGCGAGACAAAGCATCCGCAGCTGCATTCGAAGCTCCCGTCTTATATTCTATAGTAAAGTCATACCCGGGAAGCTTTGCCACCCACAACTGCTGTGAAGGTGTGACAATCTTTTGAGTCAGTAGGTATTTCAGGCTCCGATGATCCATCCTCACCACGAATTTCTGGCCAATCAAATATGGTCTCCAATGCTGGACTGCGAGGGCCAATCCCATCATCTCTCGCTCATAGGCGGACTTAGTGAGAGTCCAATCAGCCATGGTCTTGCTGAAATACGCCACGGGATGACGCTCCTGCATCAGGACAGCTCCCACACCCGTCCCGGACGCGTCGCATTCCACCACGAAGGGTTGGTCAAATCGAGGCATGGCAAGAACTGGAGCCTCGGTCAATGCCTTTTTGAGGCGAACAAAAGCAGCTTCGGCTTCCGGGGGCCATTCAAACACTGCGGGGGCTGCCTTCTTCAGTAGTGCCGTCAACGGTCTCCCTATCAATCCATACCCCCGCACAAACCTCCGGTAATACCCCGTGAGACCCAAAAAACCCCTGATGTCCCAAACCGATTCGGGATGCGGCCATTCAAGTACTGAACTCACCTTGCTAGGATCCATTGCTACCCCTGCTGCCGAGATAATGTGTCCCAAATATTCCACTTTCAGACACCCAAAGCTACACTTCTTGGCCTTGAACTGGTGAATGTGCCCGATGATCCTCCCAAGTTCTGCTGTACACCAGGATGTCATCAAAGAAAACCAAGATAAACTGGCGCAGGAATGGGCGGAATAACTCATTCATCGCGGACTGAAAGGTAGCTGGGGCGTTGGTGAGGCCGAACGGCATCACCAAGAACTCGTAATGACCACTATGGGTCCGGAAGGCAGTTTTGTGAATATCCGGTCTTGCCACTCTGATGTGATGATAACCTTAGCGAAGATCAATCTTTGAGAAGACTACTGCACCGGACAACTCATCTAGCAATTCCTGAATCACAGGGATCGGGTACTTATCGGGTACCGTCACTTTGTTCAACTCCCGATAATCAACGCAAAATCGCCAACTGCCGTCCCTCTTTTTCACCAACAGTACTGGGCTAGAGAAGGGGTTGGAACTCAGTCGAATGACCCCAGCTGTAAGCATATCATTGACCAGTTTCTCTATTTCATCTTTTTGGAGATGGCCGTAATGGTACGGCCGCACAGATACTGGTTGTGAGCCTGGGATAAGCTCAATTCTGTGGTCAGTGGAGCGCTGTGGCGGTAAACCGAACGGTTCCACAAAAACCTCGGAATACTCTTCCAACACCTCTTTCACTCGCCCCTGCTCCGCCTCTGAAAACCTCACCGCGTCGGCATCAACTACTACTGCCCAAAGCTCCACATTGCTGGTGCGAACCAAAGTGCGCAGCCCAACGGAACTACGACTAAGGGTGGGGTCACCCCGTAAAACGACTCGCTGATCCCCTTGGAGAAACGATATAGACATTCGTTCCCAATTAACACTCACATCTCCAAGAGTCGCCAACCACGCCACTCCCAGTATAACATCGACACCACCTAATGTAAACACAAAGTAATTCGCAGTTAGCTCGCACCCCGCCAAAGTCATCGACACCCCACGACATAAACCCGCCGACTTTTGCCGGTGTCCGTCACCCAACTGCACCCGAAATTTGACTGATTCATCCGGCTTAAGCTGCAATAATGGAACCAGCGAAGAAGATATGAAATTATGACTAGCACCACTATCAATTAACACTGTTATCGTACATCCGTGGAGGATCCCGTGCATGCGCATAGTGCCTGCATCCGAAAATCCAGCCATGGAAAAGACAGGTAAGGCACCCTTCTCCTCCGCGCCTTCTCCTATCTCCTCCGCGAGCTCCTCTTGACCGGTAGGTTTGTAATATTCATGATTCTGAAAATCCACTTCCTCATCCGGCTCCACAAATAAAACCCGCAACTCCCTGAGTGGACAAACTCTCGCATAACCAAGCGTATACGTCTTGCGGCACTTGCAACACAAACCCTTTGCTATTAAGTCTGCCATCTCGTTCGATGTTACGCGGGTAAATCGCGAACGCGCAGTCGATCGTTCAGATGCTGCCGGGGTGGCTGCTGCCGATTTTTCCGACGGTCGAGACAGACGACTAGCGGAATTACCCCCAAACAGTCCGGGTACTGTGCTGGTCTGTCCGGCGCTGAGTGGACGCGAGGAATTAAAGGGCCGCTGCCCGGAATTATTCGAACCTCTGAACTGCCTATCACCCCCTGGCCAATTCAGATTTTCCTCGATATCTCGTGACAATTCCATCGCGGTCTCCAAGTCTGCTGGTCAGAGCAGACATAGAGAGTTGCTGATAGCAGTTTTCAACCCGGACAAAAAATAGCCGAGATAATGGGCATCCGACAGCCCCGGAACCTATCCGGCGAGCTGTATGAACACGTTCACATAATCCTCAACTATCCCTATCTGACGGACTCCCGCTAACCTTTCGAACGAGCTTCCCTTGAATCGGGAGTCGAACCTCGCTACCAGGGCTTGCGAGAATTCGTTCCAAGTCACGTTGGGCTTCCGGGCGCGCAGCCAGGTGACCCAACGCAGAGCAGCACCATCCATAGCCACCACAGCGGCCGAAATCTTAGACTCCTCAAAAGTCCCGTGCAACTCAAACTGCTGATTGGCGCGGGCCAACCAGGCAATCGGGTCCACGCCGTCGAACGTGGGTAACTGTAACGGTGCAGGGGGAACGTGCGGCACCACAACAGCGGGTAGGGCAGGTTCTGCCTGGGCAGCTGGCGGCACAGGAAAAGCTGGGGGCGGGGCGGCGTGTATTGCTGACCCCTCCTGCAAGCCAGCGGCCTGATCCGGCGCACCACCAGGGCCCAAAATCGCGTGGGACAGCGCGGCCAGGGTGGTCGACATCTCCTGCAATTTGGTGGTATTCTCCACCAACCCTGATGTAAATTCCAACATCTGTCCGTAATTTTCAGTGATCCTGCGCAGCATATTAGCCTGATCAGATTCCAGTTTCTCCAATCTCTCAGCGGCGGAACGAGTAGTCGACATTACGGCGGGTCGGAATCCGGCAGGTCGGACCAATTGTTAGAAAAAAATTATAATGAACAGCAACAATCAAACGCAACATACGTCTGCCAAGCCTCCAGGCTCCTAATTTACTCAATGTTGTGATCACAAACAATAACCCTAATCCTAACAATATAAATGCTAGATTAACTATCAAAAATAGAAATTAAAAAAACACTATAACCCATAATAATTAAATCAACCGGCCCACGAAAATGGACTCAAGCCCGACTCCGCCGACGATAGACAAACAGGGGTCGTGGCTCAGTAGCAGCCTCGACCACGGGCTGGTCCCCCTCATCCTGCTCGCTATCAGGTGCTTAGCTTCATGAAATTTTCCTTTGATTCACTGTTGGTAATTCTTGCATGAAATTTTGATAATTTGACTGTTTGTTATCCTTCTTTAACTTGCTACTAGAGTTTTGTAACTATGAAATTAAAGTCTAAAGTAGACATGAAAGTATTCGAAATGTTGTATGACTTACCAGATGTTAGAGAATATGCCTCAAATTCTATTGTGTTGTTTTTGTGGGCTTACTGAAAATTTTCAAGACAGTGACTATCAGAAATTATTATTGACAGTTCTAATTATGAGCATGGCTAAGCAAACAGTTAATATTCTGAAATTTAAATCTACAGCTGTTAATTACAACATTGATGAAAACTTCTGCAGGAAACTACCCATCTATAATAATAGCATAAGTATCCAAATTATGTAAAACACGGTATAATTTTACACTAGTTCCTAACAAATCAGGACCGTAAAAAATGGCTCTACTTCTTCGATTCCTCCACCCTTGTTTTGGATGCCACACTTCTTAGACGGCTCAAGAATGTTGTTAGATCCTCAGAGTTATGGGTGATGCTCCAATAGTGTGAGCCCTGAGCTTGTAAATTTGGAGCAGAAATCTCCGTTGCCTGGAATGCCTGTTTGCACCGAGGACACTCCAGATTCTTGTTCAAATACAAATTTCGGTACTCAAAGTGCGTCTTGCACCAAATGCAAGATGTCCAAAATGTGTTCGGTCTTGCCTGGTTAGCACTCGACATGGACTGCACTGAGACTGCTGCATTATGAGAGTGAGCAGCTGAATTTGAAGAAAAAAACCTGGGTGCAGATGTACGTGTTGAAGACATATTATCATTCCTAGGAGGCCGGGATGGATTAGGTACTCCGAATGCAGGAATCCTCGGCGGTACAGATCTTGAAAAGTTGTCCTGACGGAAAGGAACACCATGTGCGGTGAATTGTGAATATCTCAGATGCGGTGCAGCAAAATGGTATTGCGGACTTGCTGTTGGTCTCGGGCGAAAACGTGTTGGATCAGTAGAAGTTGGGGAATCCATATGTGGAGCACTAGTTGAAGCAGCACTACCCCTTTGATTCCGAGGCAGCATGTTTATCTTCAGATTATAACCATTTCTGCTCTCTTTGTCGGATAGTACACTCCATGCCTGTGACAGTATTTGAAATGCTCCATCCGCACCTACTGATTTGTTCTTATCTGGGTGAAGGGAGAGGGCCATTCTCCGATACTGTTTCTTCAATGTATCCTCATCAGCTAATGGATCGACCCCCAATATGCTATAATAATTGGGAAACTCATTTATTCTGCAGTCACTTGCAACGTGTATATTGATGACGTCGATGAACTGACTCAAACCATCAAGTCCAGGAAAGAGACTTTGAGCCTTCAAAGCCAACCTCTTGGCTCCTTGATTGTCTCCGTCCAATAATTTCTTTTCGGCCATATCTTTGGCTCTTGTGGCTTCATCTTTGTTGCATTCCATTTTTCGCTTTACTATTAAACACCGAACACATAGTTAAGACAAGAGAAAAAGGAAAAAAAACTTTATTAATTAAAGCATATATATACTACATAAATGATGTATGATCATTCGAATTCCACGATTAACTTCCAGATTTTATAAGAACAAATCGCAAAGTTTTTTCATGCATCTATGGAAAATTTAATGAATGAATACAACTTTGCTATTTATTGAAAAAAGAAACTTGGATTGAATTGCTAATAGTGTAGCAAAAATCTGATGATTTGCATCTCCTAGATTCTAAGTACCAATCAGTGAATAGGATGTATAGAAGCTTCACAGGAGTGAAAGCATATAGGCTAGGTATATTCGATATTCGATTTCATAATAATAACAATATGCAAACAAGTGTACAGGATATCTAAATTCAATGTTAACTTGATATTAGTATTACCAATTCCGCAAGACTAAATTAGAATTCTCATGATTGATAATATCACATTACTAAGGGGATTAACAAAAATATTGTAAATCTTAATTACAATGAGAGAATAAATTGAACATAATAAAATAAAAAACAACAACAAGAATAATAATAATAGACAAACAAAGATATCCCTTGATCTACAAATTTTTCATTTTTACGCAACTTGAAATAAGCATTCCAAATGAGCAAAACTTATAGGATCGTAATTATTTTTTGAACAACTAAGACCATAACATTAATACCCTTTATTAAGTAAAGATAAGGCGACAAATTGAATCCATTTGAAAAAGGGATGCATTAAAGCGCAACATTCTTATAGAGGGATAATCCAATTATTGTATGTATTGTACTATATTAATAAGAGATCAATAATGTGAAGCGGTATGGACGTAGTTCATTAAAATAAAGTTTGTAAATATATATGCAATTTCCATTTCCGTTCTTAAATGGACTCACTGATGAATGGTTGATTTTCATACAAACAATTTTATGGTTATCTTGCCTAAGTAAAAAATAAGACTTGCTGGTAAGTTGAAGTTGAAAGAACTTGAAAGTCTTTGCAATAGTTTATAAAACAAGAAGCATAGCTGGTCTAACATATTACCTTTCTACAAATTTTATGATAGTTTTTCTAACAATTTTAATGCGATGATGTTTTATAGCTAATATTAAATGGCAATTAAATTTTACATGTAGTGCTAAAAATCAAGAAAAAAATTAAAAAACTAGGGTTTTATCCCATCCTTTGATTTTGAAACCCTAGTTTCTTCATCACAATGTTGGAATAAAAAAATAGTACAATTCATCTCTATAAAATATATTTTTCATACTTTACTTTATTGTCTACTCCATCGAAATAACTCATTCTCATTTGAAATTTTAACATTTACATTACTCTCATCTTAAAAAACAAAAAGAAAAAATTAACATATAAAAGGTAGGTGATTTCAAAAGCAAACAACATAGATCTAAAATCTACTTGGAAAAACAAATAAGACGATGAAGAAAACATACAATTTCTTCAAGAAAAGAGAGGGTTAGGTTGAGAGGGTTAGGTTGATAGAGCTCGGAACAGAACAACAAGAGAGAAAATAACTGGGTTGAGTCTGTAAGAACTTTTTCAGTTTTATATAGAAAAGTAGTGGTGGGGAGGGGCTGAGATTTTGGAATTTGTGTCAAAGTGCAATGCGTCAGGTTTTCTATTGTTAGAACACGTGATATCTATTATTAAAAATAATTATTAAAAAAATACATTTATGTTTAAAGTAACAAATAGTACAATATTTTAGTGATATATATTGATCCACTTTTATAATTATTTAATTGTAAATTATTTTCACAATCTCATTGTAATGATGAAATTGAATTATACAAATTTGATTTCATATATTATTTTTCAATGAAAGAAAAAATATATGATATATGATTATATAATATTTGAATATATAATAATGTCATGTTATATGTTTATTCTTTTTATTTTTTTAATTATGCTAGTAATGTCAAGTCATTTGTAATAATAATAATAATAATAATAATAATATATTATACAAGTTTTTGATGAAAAACACATTCTCTGCAATCAATCCCAATTTTGTACATTTGCAACTCTTACAGCTTCATATCATTTGGATTCCTTTTTTAATTAAGAATTCGCTCAACAAAAAATTATTATTATTTTTAAAATATTTATGAGATTTTTTTTCAAATATATGTGACTAACCATTTTGTCATAAAATTTTCTATAAAAATGTATTAGCCAAATAAAATGTATTTAATGCCTAAAATGATCATAGCTAATTTTTTTACAAAAACTTATATGACAAATTGAACTAAACTTTCCACATAATTATTAGTCACATTATTTTCCAAAAAAAAAAAAAAACCAAATAATCGAATTTTGACAAATATAATTAAGACAATAATTTTGACACATTATTTAGAAATAAGTTTGTTATGGATTTTTCTGTGTGATTATTTTTTCAAAAAGCATGATTAACTGCTATAAAATTTTCTACTGTTAATTAATGTTTGATAATTGAATCAAACACAAAATAGTATAATTTATTTAAAATTGATTGATGTAATTTTTTTTTAAAAAAAATTGGTGGTATTAGATTGAATTTAATTTTTTTTATTTGGTTTGGAATAGGTTGGGATTGGATTATTGTAATTAGGTTAGAATTGGTTTAATATACTTTTCATTTTTGTTCAAATATATTGAAATGGGTTGAATTTAATATGTTTTAAATTGATTTAATGTAATTTGTTTGAAATTGAATTAATGTAATTTTTTATGAATAATTTGTTGAAATTTATTCAGTGTAGTTGGTTGGAATCCCTATAAATGTAATTTGTGTTTAGTCGGAATTAGTTTAATGTAATTTTACTATAATTGGTAGTATGATTTAGAGATGAAATTGGCCAATGATTTAATCTTTAGCTAAACTTAACAGTAGCTAGATATTTTATCCCTTGCAACACTTTAGAAAATCATAGACAAAGAAGCATCATAGAATGTTGAGATTGAAGGATTTGCGAGACAATATTTTAATTTACAAATTCCGTCACAAATCAAAGTTTTGCGAGGGATTTTCACTCAGCTAGGGAATTATTCCCTCGCTAAATTGTTATTTTTATTTCTTATAGTGATTACATACTTTTTTTAACTTCTAAGTTGTTTCGTTGGAGTGATTATATACATTTTACATGGGCTCATTCATGATAAATTGAAGCCACTCAACTACGCTAAAAAATTTGAAACCTTAGTTTCTTCATTACAACTTTCATATAAAAAAGTAGTACAAGTCACCACTATAATGCTAAAGTAATTCAATTAAAACATGTTTTGACTACTTTTTTTCCATTGTCTACTCCATCAGAAATAACCCATTCTCATTTGAACTTTTAATATTTACATTAGTTTCATCTTAAAAAAAAAGAATTTAAAAGCTAGTTGATTTCAATACCAAACAACAAGAATCTAAACTTTACCCGAAAACAAATAAAATGATGAAAACATACAATTTGGCTTCAAGAAAAGAGAAGGCTGGGCGGATGCACAGCAGAAATGAATCGATAAGCACCGGCAAGAATGAGATAACAATTAGAACTGTCTGTCAAAATATTTTTTGCTTTATATAGAAAGTGGGATGGTGGGTGTTTGGAATGTTTGTCCGGTGCAATGCACCATATTTTATTAGAAATAATAATAAAATAGGAAAAAATGTAGGCAAGTCTAAGTAACTAATTCAATTTTTGAGTGCTATGTAAGTACCCACTTTTATAATTATTTACTTGTAATTATATTCAAAGAATATTGTAGTGATGAAATTGATTTACTATATAATTTATTTTAAAACTTAATTTTTTAGAAGGAAAAAAATAAGATATACGAGTGTTTTTATTTTTTATTTTTTTAAATATACCTACGGGTGGAAAATTTGGCCAGCCCGAACGGTCCGTATCCTATCCGTGCTTGGGACAGGCCCGGCCCAGTTTACGGTCAGGCCTGGGAGTCCAGACGCGAGCACGGCCCACTTCAAATCGTGCCGGGTTTGACCTACACTAATAAAATAAGAACTCAACCATTAGACTAGGACACTTTTCAATTTTTGATGTATATTTATTTTTTAATATATTTATAAAAGTATTTATTCAAAAATTTATTTCATAAAAAATGGGCCAGGCCTCACGGCCCGCCTGATCTCTAAAGGTCCGGGCACGGACCAAAAACATTTCGGGCCTATTTTTAAGCCCACGCACGATTTTTTGTGCCGGGTTTGGATTGGATTTTCGGGTCATGCCAATTTTTGCCACCTCTAATTATTCCTACAAAGTTATTTCATTTATAATAATAATATATTATACAACTTTCGATGAAAGAACATTACCGACAATGACAACCCTGCACATTTGCATGTTTTACACAATGTTGTCGTTTGATATTTCTTTTATTAATTATGAATTTACTACAACAAATTATTAATATTGCTTTAAAAATAGTTATGAAAAATTCGTAAAATATATGTGACCAAAAAAAATAAAAGAATTTGCCACATGAGCTCTAAGCCATGTGAGTGAAGCCATTTGTTGATCATAGTGTGAGACGTTCCTCGTTTGAGGGCAATGTCTCCGATTCAATCCCGAGTGGGTGCCTGTGGGGTAAAAATCAACTTAACATTTAGCTAGGTAATAAACATTGTCCCATTGCCATAGTCCTACTTATTCGTCACATTGTCTTACATAATTGACCCATTACTTAATTTCATCAGTTAATCATTTATCTTGGCCATTTCATTTATCCTTGACCATGTTCAAATTCTAAATTTTAAAGGACACTAATAGATTTTCCAACAACTGATTAATCAAACGTTTTGAACCTGAGCACATTAAAATATTTTACCATTGTATATGAGGAACCGTTGGCATGCACTTTGTAATGATAAGTACATAAGTCTCATTCAACTTAACTCATCCAAAGATTTTTCTGTCTGCCAGCCTTGCCTTTGTTTAGTTTCAGGATTATATTTGGTACAAAAGACCCATTTCAAGCAAACAACATTTCTATCATGTGGGGCATCGACCAACTCCCAATTGGAGTCTTTTTCAATAGCATTCAATTCCTCTACCATAGCTTCTTTCCATTCTGATTTTTGTACAGCTTCTTCCAAAGATGTAGGATCAACCGCTAACAAAGCAAACTCACATGATTCATAAATTTTTGTAACAGATTTTAGTTTTCTTGGCGTCAGTTCAGTGCTGCTGCTGTTCTGGACAGTCGATGGTGATGATTCTGCACTGCAGCTGTGTCGTATAGAGGATGGTGACGATTCTGCGCTGCTACTGTTTGACGAACTGAATTGTGTAGTTGTATTCGAGACGCTGCTGATGCTGCCATTCAAAAGTGCAGGATTCTAAATTTCTAACACCTTGTACATCACTGTCTTTTTTCATCAAAATATGCAGGAACCGATTTAATGGCGCCATCATTGTCAACACTGCACTTCAATGCAGCCTCTTCATTGAACGCACGTTCCTACTTATTAACACTTTGCCATTCCTAGTTATTATCACTTGGCCAAACACATGGTAATGAATGTTGGGGAAAGCTTTGTAAAGTCGATCGATGTTTCGAAGGCTAATAGGAAGAAGAAGAACTCAACCGTATGTTATTCACTCAATCCAAAAGAAATTCAACCATAAAATATACAATAGAGATATTAAGGATGATTACATCACATCAATCCAAATATGAAAAATAATAATCACTCTTTATTTAGATACTTTATTTAGATAATTACTTAATATATTAATAATATTAATATAATTAATTATTTAAAAATATTTGAAACATATTATTCAACACTCCCCCGTGCTTCAAATCTGCAAACTCCAAGTCGCCTTCAGAAATACTTAAGCTTCTCCCAAGAAAGTGCCTTAGTAAAAGCATCTGCCACTTGATCATTTGTAGAAACGTACTCCAACTGAATATCACCATTTTCCACCAAATTACGAATAAAATGAAACCGATTATCAATATGGTTTGTCCTCTTGTGATACGCTGGATTCTTTGTCATCGCAATAGTGGCTTTGTTGTCACAATAAATTATTATTGCATTCTTTTGCCCTTGGTGCATATCAGCCAGTATTCTTCTCAACCACACAACTTCACACGATGCGGCAGTCACAGCAACATACTCCGCTTCGGACGAGGACAATGTAACAATATCCTGCTTCCTCGAACTCCTAAATAGCACCGGAACCTAAGTTGAATCTTTGACCGAAAACACTCTTCCTGTCATCTATGCAAGCAGCCCAATCGCTGTCACTAAATCCCTGCAACTAAAATTCAGCATCTTTCGAATACCAAATTCCCCAATCAGTGGTCCCAACTATGTATCGAAGCACTCTTTTTGCTGCTCCCAGATGTTGCACGGTTGGATTATGCATGTACCTAGATAGCAACCTCACAGAATACATGATATCAGGATGAGTATGTGTAAAATAATTTAGTCCACCTATTAGCCTTCGAAAATAGCTCGGATCAGCTGCTTTGGTTCCATCTTCCAGCTGCAACTTCTCGTTAGTATTCATCGGTGTGGTTTCTGCTTTGCAATTGTGCATGCCAAACCTGAGTAAAAGATCATTAGCATATTTATTTTGTGAGAAAAATATGCCATCTTCAGCTTGCTTTACTTCAAGTCCGAGAAAATAACTAAGCATCCCCAAGTCCGACATTTCAAACTCCCTCATCATACACATCTTGAAATCAGAAACTAAGGTTTCACTTGATCCCAAATATATCATGTCATCGACATAAATGCAAACAAGTAGAAACTCACATTTGTCATTTCTTTTTGCATACAGTGTTGGTTCACTTTCACTCCTCATAAATCCATTCTTTAGAAGGTATGAGTCAATTCTTTTATACCATGCGCGTGGTGCATGTTTAAGCCCGTATAGCGCCTTTTTTAACTTAAAAACTTTGTGTGTCTTTGCCCTGAACCACAAAGCCCTCAGGTTGCGAGACATACACCTCTTCTTCTAAATCTCCATTTAAAAATGCAAATTTAACATCGAATTGATAAACCAGAAGCTGTAAATGTGCAGCAAGACAAAGAAGAGTTTTTACAGTCTCAAAGCAAGCCACGGCTGAGAATGTCTCATCAAAATCAACGCCTTTGTGTTGCGCATAACCTTTTGCAACCAGTCTCGCTTTGTACTTATTCACAGTACCGTCAGCATGATGCTTGACTTTGAATACCACTTTAGACCAATTGGAGTTTTTCCTTCATGAGGTTCAACCAAGTCCCACATCTTCATTTCTTCTACCATTGCAGCTTGTCATTCTTCCTTTCCAGCAGCATCTTCGAAACATGTAGGTTCCGATATGTACAAAGCAAAGCTGCAGCTTCCATAAACTTCTGCCACTGATGTGAATTTTTTCTGAGTGTGCTCGTAAGTAGAACGAGGAAGATTTCCGTTGCTACTTCGACTCGAATATGAGGAAACCGACAAACAACCTGCAGAACCTCCTAAAATTTCACCTTCAACATGTATCGTAGTCTCATGAGAGTGATTAAAGATTCCATCTACTTGCGTTGTTGCTCCAACATCTTTACTTCATTTCCAAGTCCAACCTTCATTTTCATTGAATTGGACATCCCGACTTATAATCACCTTGCCACTTATTGGGTTATATAGTTTGTATGCCTTGGATTGAACACTATAACCCAACAAGACACACTTTTCCGACTTTTCATCAAGCTTTGATCGAGATTTTGTCAAAGCATATGCTGTGCAACCAAAGGTTCGTAAAAGGCTTACCTTCGGCTTGCGACCATTCCACACCTCATACGAGGTCTGATTATAAACAACTTTTGTCGGAGAAATATTCAAAATGTAAATGGCCGTAGCTACTGCTTCAACCCAGAACTTTTTCGGAAGACCCTTTGCGACCATCATGCTTCTTCCCATCTCAACAATGGTGCAATTTTTACGTTCAGCTACGCCATTTTGCTGTGCAGTCAGCTCTCTACGGATTATATTCTCTTCACAAAACTCATTGAACTCACGTGAAACAAATTCACCACCTCGATCAGTCCGAAAGATTTAATTTGGCACCCACTTTGTTTCTCCACCAACGCCTTGAATTTTCTGAAATTTTCAAATGCCTCTGATTTATTTTTCAAGAAATACACCCAACACATCCGAGTGAAGTCATCTACAAATAGCAAAAGATATCGACTCCCTCCAAGAGACTCCACGGGCATAGGTCCGCATAAATCCGAATGAATGGGCTCAAGACAAGACTATGTTCTCCATGCTTTTCCCACCGGAAATGAAGGCCTGCTTTGTTTTCCATAAATGCACCATTCACAAAAATTGAGACGATCAAGTTTAGGCAACCCAAGAACCATCCCTTTCTTCCTAAGCAGCTGCAGCCCTTTAATATTCAAGTGACCATATCTATTATGCCAAAGTTTAGCTTCTTCATCCTCATTAGCGACGAAAGCACAACCAAGCTTCACATCAAGAAGAAACATCCTGTTCGATATCAACTTAACACTGAAAAGTTTTCTGTTGGTGTTGTCCTCCGGGATGTCACAAGATTCATCATTAAATAGAACTGAATAACCACTCTTCAATGCTGTCCAACACTTAGTAAATTACGAGCAAGTGATGGAACATATTGTACCTCACGAATCAATTCTGTATTGCCTTCCGTGGTTCTAATCGCAATCGTACCTCTACCCTCAACCTTGATTGGCCTGTCAATACCAAGACGAACTTCTGATTTTTCGGTCTTGTCCAGATCTTTAAACAATCCTCTTTCACCACACATATGATTAGAATACCCACTATCAATACACCAAACATCATTGGTTACATTATTCGTAGTGGAATGAGTTATGAATACATTACTCTCTTCCTCATGTGTTGTGGTGAAGTTCGTAGGCTTCTGGTCATCCTTTTGTTTTTCCTTTTGTTTAAACCAGCAATCAACCTCCTTATGCCCATATTTCTTGCAATAATGGCATTCTCCAGAAAAATAATTGCGTCATCTGCCTCGACCACGATAACCACCTCTTCCTTGGCCTCTACTTGTTGTGTTATCCGGCCACTTCCAAGAAGTAGAATCTACCTTTCCCTTAGATTGAAGCTCCCCCTTCACTTGGAAAGCCTTTTCTTCGGTTTTCTCAGTAGATCTATTCAATCGATCCTCATGACTCAATAAGGTACCCGTCAGTTCATCGAAACTGTAAGTTGATAGGCCTTTCGTCTCTTCAATAACCACAGCAATATAATAAAATTTTGAAGTTAAACTTCTCAAAACTTTGCTGACCACAGTAATATTATTTATTTCGTCACTATACGACTTCATAAGATTAACAAGCGCAGAAACCCTTGAGAGATAATCCTCCACAGATTCTTTTTCTCTCATTGATAACAACTCAAAATCACGGCGCAGGGTTTGCAATTTTACCTTAATAATCTTCTCATCTCCCAAATACTCCTGCTTGAGGATATCCCATGCTTGCTTTGACGTATCGGCCGCTGTAATTCTGGAGAAAATACTATTATCAAGAGCTTGTTGAATAAGGAATAACACCTTGGCATCCTTCTTTCGATTTTCCCTTACTTGCTGCGTGGGTGGTTCAGATCTATCATCGACCAACCCTGTTTCTATTCTATCCCAAAGTTCTTGAGATTTAAACTCCATAAATGATAATTTTCCCCTTTAAACATTGGAATTGAAACCTGAGAACTTGAATTGTTGGCCATGACTTTGATTCACCAATTGTTTTTCGATTACTTTACCGTATCCCCTTCTCGAAAGGACTGCTGGTGTACTTCTCCAATCTACGCCTCCTTCCAGGCACAATTTTTTTGGCTCTGATACCAGAAATTTGTTGGTGAAAAAGAAGAACTCAACCGTATCTTATTCACTCAATCCAAAGGAAATTCAACCATAAAACATACAATAGAGATATTAAGGATGATTACATCAAATCAATCCAAATACGGAAAATAATAATCACTCTTTATTTAGATAATTACTTAATATATTAATAATATTAATATAATTAATTATTTAAAAATATTTGAACCATATTATTCAACAATGAACCTTAACTATGTGGTCTATTGACAACTACGATGGCTCATTTCTTTTGCAGGACTTTAAGCCTACAACAAAGAACATTCTAAAGAGAGGAAGAAAGTCAAAAAAGAATGCAAAACAAGACAATTGCAACACTCGCCTACTTAATCCTAGGTGTGTTTGGTAACATGAAACAACATGATTTCATTGCTATCTTCATCATTTGCTACTTAAAACGAGATATTCAAACATTTGATTCATTGTCTGCACATAAATTCACATATATATGTCTGTGTGTGTGTCCGCGCGCATTATATTTTATTCAATCAATTGGTTTTGTTGTTTTAGAGAGACAATAATGAGCAAGGAGGGCGCATAAGCCATCTTGAGAAAGAATGCACAAATGCCCTGCTTGACCTCGGCAAAGAGGATGAGCATGCGCAGAAGACTTGGAGGTTGCCATGTTGCTGTCAGAAACATGTCGATCAATTGTAAATTTGATTCTTGACTGAATACCTTAGAAAGCAAAGAAAACATAAAGTTGTTTTTTTAATTAGTATCATAATATATAGGGTTTGTTCTTTTTTTTTTTTCAAGTATATATACTTCTTAATTTCTATATTGGATCATTCTATCATTGAATGTATAACTATTAAATCGCCAATAAAACTATATTATACTCTAACATCAATATAAATGTGAGCTTTGTAATTAAGCAGTATATGGTAAACTTGTAATTAAGATGTCCTCATTAAATCAAAATCTAAGAGGAAAAACAAAAATGAATGTCTAGCTCCATGCTGACGCTGCTGGAGTCTCGAGCTTCCGGTTCAGATAGGGTAGGGTCATACAGTATTTCTTTGCATTATCATTTCAGTTCTTTCAATTTGTTTTTCTTGTTTTTTGTTTCCTTCGGTGTTTCTATATGTGAGTCTCATGTATTTGCTAACTTAAAAGTACATATGGCTTGATCCCTGTGTGTAGATAGTTTGGATTCCGGAGCCCAGCCATTTAATTTTTTAACTTTCTTTAAGGGCAAAGTAATATGCAGTTCACCTTATTTATTTTCATTAATTCATGGCTCTGTGTGGCGTGCTGCAAGAACATCCTCGAAAGCTCAACAGTCTAATCGATGACGATTGAACTCAATGATGTGAATTTTGAAATCTTGGACAATGTCACATTTGTTGTTTTTTTGATTAGAAGCTACCCTAAAAGTTGAAAAGAGCAACTGTTGGGCGGGTGTCTTTTAAAGAGAAGACTCATTCAATACTCCAATCTCCAAATTTTCTTTTTCTTGTTAATAAAATAGAAGCACAAATAATCGTTAAATGGTATAAGAACTTTCAAATTTCATAAAAGAACTTTCAAATTTCCTACACAGGGTCTATAATTTAATAGTAAGAACCTTTGGAGTGCCTTGATAGCCATTCTTAAGATCATCCCATGCTTCTTTTGCTTTGGTTGCTGCAGAAATCCAAGATGAAAAAATTGCATCATTGACAACCTTTTGAATAAAGAACAAAGCTTTAGCATCTTTCTTCTTGATCTCTTTTGAATTTTCAGCATCTTTCAGTGTCTACATTGTAGCATTTTTCAACAAATCCCACAGGTCTTGAGATATAAAAAGTGTTTTTCCATCTTGGTACTCCCAGATTTCATAATTATTGCCCTGAAAATTTGGAATAGAGGGCTGTGAAACACTGACTCCATTTGGGTTGTTTGCCGTGAATCTGGCCATGATACCAAATGTTAAAAACCAAGAGCAATTACAAAAGGGAAATAAATTGCCACGTTAAAGGAGAGAACAAAAACAAAACATTTTTTACAGACATCTCATACATACAATCAAATAACATAACATAACTGCAAGACTAAAATGATGAAAACTTCTGCAGGAAACTACCCATCTGTAATAATAGCATAAGTATCCAAATTATGTAAAACACGGTATTATTTTACACTAGTTCCTAACAAAACAGGACCATCAACATGGCTCTACTTCTTCGATTCCTCCACCCTTGTTTTGGATGCAACACTTCTTAGACGGCTCAAGAATGTTGTTAGATCCTCAGAGTTATGGGTGATGCTCCAATAGTGTGAGCCCTGAGCTTGTAAATTTGGAGCAGAAATCTCCGTTGCCTTGAATGCCTGTTTGCACCGAGGACACTCCAGATTCTTGTTCAAATACAAATTTCGGTACTCAAAGTGCGTCTTGCACCAAATGCAAGATGTCCAAAATGTGTTCGGTCTTGCCTGGTTAGCACTCGACATGGACTGCACTGAGACTGCTGCATTATGAGAGTGAGCAGCTGAATTTGAAGAAAAAAACCTGGGTGCAGATGTACGTGTTGAAGACATATTATCATTCCTAGGAGGCCGGGATGGATTAGGTACTCCGAATGCAGGAAACCTCGGCGGTACAGATCTTGAAAAGTTGTCCTGACGGAAAGGAACACCATGCGCGGTGAATTGTGAATATCTCAGATGCGGTGCAGCAAAACGGTATTGCGGACTTGCTGTTGGTCTCGGTCGAAAACGTGTTGGATCAGTAGAAGTTGGGGAATCCATTTGTGGAGCACTAGTTGAAGCAGCACTACCCCTTTGATTCCGAGGCAGCATGTTTATCTTCAAATTATAACCATTTCTGCTCTCTTTGTCAGATAGTACACTCCATGCCTGTGACAGTATTTGAAATGCTCCATCCGCACCTACTGATTTGTTCTTATCTGGGTGAAGGGAGAGGGCCATTCTCCGATACTGTTTCTTCAATGTATCCTCATCAGCTAATGGATCGACCCCCAATATGCTATAATAATTGGGAAACTCATTTATTCTGCAGTCACTTGCAACGTGTATATTGATGACGTCGATGAACTGACTCAAACCATCAAGTCCAGGAAAGAGACTTTGAGCCTTCAAAGCCAACCTCTTGGCTCCTTGATTGTCTCCGTCCAATAATTTCTTTTCGGCCATATCTTTGGCTCTTGTGGCTTCATCTTTGTTGCATTCCATTTTTCGCTTTACTATTAAACACCGAACACATAGTTAAGACAAGAGAAAAAGGAAAAAAAACTTTATTAATTAAAGCATATATATACTGCATAAATGATGTATGATCATTCGAATTCCACGATTAACTTCCAGTTTTTATAAGAACAAATCGCAAAGTTTTTTCATGCATCTATGGAAAATTTAATGAATGAATACAACTTTGCTATTTATTGAAAAAAGAAACTTGGATCGAATTGCTAATAGTGTAGCAAAAATCTGATGATTTGCATCTCCTAGATTCTAAGTACCAATCAGTGAATAGGATGTATAGAAGCTTCACAGGAGTGAAAGCATATAGGCTAGGTATATTCGATATTCGATTTCATAATAATAACAATATGCAAACAAGTGTACAGGATATCTAAATTCAATGTTAACTTGGTATTAGTATTACCAATTCCGCAAGACTAAATTAGAATTCTCATGATTGATAATATCACATTACTAAGGGGATTAACAAAAAATATTGTAAATCTTAATTACAATGAGAGAATAAATTGAACATAATAAAATAAAAAACAACAACAAGAATAATAATAATAGACAAACAAAGATATCCCTTGATCTACAAATGTTTCATTTTTACGCAACTTGAAATAAGCATTCCAAATGAGCAAACTTATAGGATCGTAATATTTTTTTGAACAACTAAGACCATAACATTAATACCCTTTATTAAGTGAAGATAAGGCGACAAATTGAATCCATTTGAAAAAGGGATGCATTAAAGCGCAACATTCTTACAGAGGGATAATCCAATTATTGTATGTATTGTACTATATTAATAAGAGATCAATAATGTGAAGCGGTATGGACGTAGTTCATTAAAATAAAGTTTGTAAATATATATGCAATTTCCATTTCCGTTCTTAAATGGACTCACTGATGAATGGTTAACAATTTTATGGTTATCTTGCCTAAGTAAAAAATAAGACTTGCTGGTAAGTTGAAGTTGAAAGAACTTGAAAGTCTTTGCAATAGTTTATAAAACAAGAAGCATAGCTGGTCTAACATATTACCTTTCTACAAATTTTATGATAGTTTTTCTAACAACTTTAATGCGATGATGTTTTATAGCTAATATTAAATGGCAATTAAATTTTACATGTAGTGCTAAAAATCAAGAAAAAAAATTAAAAAACTAGGGTTTTATCCCATCCTTTGATTTTGAAACCCTAGTTTCTTCATCACAATGTTGGAATAAAAAATAGTACAATTCATCTCTATAAAATATATTTTTCATACTTTATTTTATTGTCTACTCCATCGAAATAACTCATTCTCATTTGAAATTTTAACATTTACATTACTTTCATTGAAAAAAAACAAAAAGAAAAAATTAATATATAAAAGCTAGGTGATTTCAAAAGCAAACAACATAGATCTAAAATCTACTTGGAAAAACAAATAAGATGATGAAGAAAACATACAATTTCTTCAAGAAAAGAGAGGGTTAGGTTGATAGAGCTCGGAACAGAACAACAAGAGAGAAAATAACTGGGTTGGGTCTGTAAGAACTTTTTCAGTTTTATATAGAAAAGTAGTGGTGGGCAGGGGCTGGGATT